GAGAGAGAGAGAGAGAGAGAGAGAGAGAGAGAGAGATTATTTTTTGTACAGTAGTTAAATAAATGTTTGCTATAAATTAAAATACCTTTAAAATAGATGGCATTCAGTATAATAAGTGTTGTCTTGTCGTCAATCTTATCAAAAATCTTTTTTATCTTATTATTGGTGTGTCTTTTGACCCATTCATTCACATATGCGGTCTCTTTGACGGCATTGTTGGCGATGTCGACCGCCTGTACTTCCGCTCCGTAAGACTCGGACGCAGTGATGACAAAATCATCCAATAAAACAATTTTTTTACTATTTATCACACGATTTGCTACATTTAACACATGATTACGAGACGTGTGCTTCTGGTCTTCGGCCACATTTGTCCCATATTTATCACTAATTACCTGAAAGCCTGCGTTTATAGCCTTTAAATCCGATTCGTTATCATTTGTGTGATTATATTTCAGAAATTGTATCAAATCATCTAGAGTGGTTCCGTTGGCGCCATTCATTAAAATACCTTGATTGTATATATGGTAAAAATATTTGATTATAATTTTCTTAATTAAACATGTTTATTTAATAAATGCTATTTTTATTTACTGAATGCCGAAAGTATAGAAAGTGGTGAAATAATTTCGCTGTCACTCTTGGCTAAGGTATTGAATATATTGAACGCAAACTCATTGTTAGCGCTGACCACTACTCTGTCTGCACCCGATTTTGACCGCTTTGTGGCCCCAATTACCGACTTATCGATTGTCGCCCACAATAACAACACTGTAAACACTAATTGACTTTTCATATCACACTATAAATAAGTATTTCATGGAAAACCAGATTGAACTTTTAAAATTGTTTATATATAATTTATTTATTACATGTAAAGTACACCTTGTATACATGTACTATGTTTATCAGTGATTGATACAGTGAGTCAAACTGTTGAAATAAAAATAACTTCGCTTTTATTGTTAATTATTTTGTGTATTGTTTAAATTCTGGCTAGGGATATTTATGACATGATGTATCGTGCCTTTTAAATGATATTTTACCTAATTGTTAACAACCATGTTATAATCGTATTCTAGTAAATTAAGTTTTTTATCATTTAATTTTATGTTGTGTAGATAATGGTAAATATATGATGATAAATGTATGTTAAGCGTCATTTACTTTAATTAATTCTCAAAACATGGTTTATAACAATTTTTGATTCTTCATTTAATAGCTAATTTTTATCTTAATTTATTTTAAACAAAATATGTGATGAATCAGTGATTATATACTACATTATTAAAAATGTATGCCTAATAAAACGTGCATAATGCAGATTATATAATTATGCTGAATTACATTATATTATAATTAAGACATTACAAGTATTTTGTAAAAGTTTGGGTTGTTTTAAGCCAAGATTAAAAGTTATTTATAAATTTTTATGAATATCTTATACCAAATAATTACCCGCAGTTATGCATAGACATATACTGTACTATTGATAATTTATACTAACAAACGTAAGGTAACATTTAACACAACTATATAAATTAATAAATCTAATTTAAAAAATAAATTTCCATTAATATAAGCATATAATTAATTAATGAACAATTCACACATTAGATTATATGTAATAAAACAAATAGTTAAAAATTTAGTAACAAAACATTATAACTACTAAAGAATTTTGTTTCAAAAATATATATTTATATAAAAATATATAATTACAAGAAAATAATGATTAAACCAAAAAGTATTGCAATTATTTTAGCGGCGGAACCGACGAGTTGTTTGCCATTATTCCTGAACTTGTTATGAATTATATTTAACAAAGTCTTACGCCTATTGTTATTAATAGCGACCACTTCTTTGTCCCGCAGACCGCACTCTTTCTCCCAATCATCGGGTATTAGCTGTTGAGACAAATCCTTATACTTATTGAAGGGACAGTCGTCTCCACCACCGCATCCCGACATTGGCAGCAAATTTGTGCCAAAATCGCCCCAAAAGGTAAAGTTATTGTAGAAAATGCGCACAAAATACTGGTCAGACTTGTGGTGCAACTCAAGAAACAGTGCGCCACCGAAGGGTACGACCTGTTTATTATAAACACCCAACGCCTGCATCAGACCTAACATCATATACTCGTGGGTCGTGTAGTGGAACAGCTTTGGGAACCATTGATCTTCGCTCGTGTTATAAACTCTAATTTTATTATTGAAATTCTTGAGCAACTCAGCCACGAGTGGACCCATTCTGAGCCGTTTAACTTCTGTGCTGTTAAACTGATCAACGAAGCGATATAACGCCAATTCGGTCACTTTGGCCAACATTTGAGTCTCGTATTTGGCGGACATTAGGTGAAAGTCTGACCACCGATAGCCGCGTTTATGCTCAGCGTATAACACATCGTAAAGTTTGGCCACATCGTCGATGTCGGTAATATTTTCGCCCACAATTGCGCTAATATTGGCCAAAAACTCACGATTTTGAGCCAATAAAGCTCGGGTGGACTCGGAGTTGGCCGACGAGTTGTCGATCGTCTCAACTGTAGGGCAATGTTTCATATGTCTGAGCAAAATATCTTCGTTCACACTCTCCAGGGGGTAGGTATATATGGGTATTGGTTGCCATAAGTGGCCCAACTCGGAGCCACTGGCGTCCTCATGACCCCTATCCCACTGCAATTGTGTAGCGTTGGGCGGATAGGCACCGGCCAGCACCAGGGCTGCCGACTCCAGGCACCGCTTCCGACCCGAACTCCGAGAGTACACTTCCCAAGCGCTGTAGTTTGAACCCAGGTATTGATCGTACATTTGCCGTATAATTTGTCCCAATCTAAACATACGATATTTACCGGTAATGTATAGCTGAGACTCGCCTTCCGGAGCGTATTTGTCGGGATTATTGGCAAACGGGTCGTTTGGGTACCGGTAACCAGACTTGACATTTGTGTCTCCGTTGCGGTGAACTATTTGTACCAGTTTTAGGTCAGATGTGTCGTGTTTTTGTGATTGTGTCATTAATTGCGTTAGGATTGACATATCCTGTGCGCCAACTATTTTGGTCAAACATATCTGTATCACAATTATTGTAATTATATTGGATATCATTGTTATTATTGAAATAACGTTTACATATAAACAGGGTTAATATTAAAGTATATTGATAATTTTTGTTTAAAATTATTTTAAAAATACAATTTCATTTGTATTTTGTGTTTATAAGTTTAGTTAGTTTAACTTATTGACACAAACGTTACATTGTATTTGTTGTATATTTATTAAGACCTTTGTATATGTACTATTGACATAATTATGTGCATAATAATTTACCCTATCAATAGTGTTTACAAATTAATTGCATAATTTTAGGATAGATAGGGTCCATAAATTTTTAAAATAATTTTACGGATATTAACAATGTTTAAACATGACATTTACATTAGACTTGTGGAAAACCTGCTATGTTTAATATTTATAATTTTATTTATTGAGCAATTTATTTATCGGACGCTGATTCCGGGAGATTCTCGGGCAAACCGGGAGCTTCTGGCAACACTATAAACAGGGTAGTTGTGCCAAATCGGGCGGCATTTGTACAGTGAGTTAGACCACACTCTTTATACCAGTCGTCGGGGTTTGCTTTTGAGATAAATCCCTGAACTTATCGACGCAAAACATTTAAATGGTTTTAAATGCTATTTTTATTATTAAATTTATGAACATAAGTACAAGTTTGTCGAGGTTGTGTCCAAATATTTTATATCAAATGTTTTAGGGGTGAATTAATTCATTTAATAAATTGAATCATTACAATCATCATATTTCTAATTAAGATGGTTAAAAGATAGTCAAATTAAGTATTAAATTCAGTTTAATTATACAACTCTTTTCATCACACTAACTTATACTTAAACTTAATTTTTAATATAAATGTTAAACATATAAAGTTTTACACATATAAAAATACAATGTTATTAAGTGTAAAATTATCAACATAAAAAACAAACTAAAATAATAATTATGTATTTAAGTAAAATTCTAAATAAGCTTATTGTTAAAGAATTGTCTCACAAAAAGTACATAGTATGAATATAATTAAAAGAAAATAATGATTAAACCCAAAAGCATTGCAATTATCTTAGCGGCGGAACCGACGACTTGTTTGCCATTATTCCTGAACTTCTTATGAATTCTTTCCAACAAATTCTTACGCCTATTGTTATTAATAGCGACCACTTCTTTGTCCCGAAGGCCGCACTCTTTATCCCAATCATCGGGTATTAGTTGTTGAGACAAATTCTTGTACTTATTGAACGGACAGTCGTCTCCACCGCCGCATCCCGACATTGGGAGCAAATGTGTGCCGTAATTGCCCCAAAAGGTAAAGTTATTGTAATAAATGCGTACAAAATACTGGTCAGACTTATAATGCAACTCAAGAAACAGTGCGCCACCGAAGGGTACGACCTGTTTATTATAGATACCCAACGCCTGCATTAGACATATTATCATAATTTCATGGGTCGTGTAGTGGAACAGCTTTGGGAACCGCTGATCTTCGCTCTTGTTATAGACTTTAATCTTATTATTGAAATTCTTAAGCAACTCAGCCACGAGTGGACCCGCTCTGAGCCGTTTGATTGCTGTGCTGCTAAACCAGTCATTGAGGCCATACAACGCCAATTCAGTCACTTTGTCCAACACTTGAGACTCGTATTTGGCGGACATTAAGTAAAATTCTGACCACCGATAGCCGCGTTTGCGCTCAGCGTATAAAACTTGGTAAAGTCGAAACACTTCGTAAATGTCGGTAATATTTCTGCCCACAATTTTGCTAACATTTGCCAAAAACTCGCGATTGTCAGCTAACAGAGCTCTGGTAGGCTCTGAGTTGGCCGACGCCATGATTATGGCATCATATATGGTATCTTGGGGACCCTGGCGCAGGGGGAGGGGGAGTTCTGAATAATAAAAATATATTGTGTTTGATATGTTAACTATTAACATTATTGTTAATAGTTACACATAAATGTTAAAATATTGAAAAAATAGTAAATTTATGATAAATAATGTTAAATATGAGGAAAAATGGGGGTCTTGTAGGCCCCCAATCCTGTATAATGAATGTTATGTTATGTCATATTGTGTACGGAAGGGAGGGGGAGGAGTGGGTATGCAGGTATGACTGGTGAAATTGATGAATAAAAAAGTGTTTAATATTTAAAACTTACTAGTGTATATATCAAATTTAAAAAAGTTAATTTAATAATATATAGGGATTTAAACCAAATAATTAAGATAATTTTAATGCTTTATTTATAAAAATTAAACATCATTATCAAATCAAAAACGCAATTGTTTTGCTGCATCAGTGATTGCAGATATGTTATCCTCCTCATCATCTTCAGCGGTATCATAGGTATCCGGAGGATCAGTGATATCAGCTGCATCATAACCACTCGTTGCACCACCACTATTACCACCACGATCACCACCAACATTACCGCCGACAACACCACCACCACGATCACCATCACCACCACGATCACCATCACCACCACGATCACCATCACCACCAACATCACCGCCGACAGCACCACCACCACGATCACCATCACCACCACGATCACCACCAACATCACCGCCGACAGCACCACCACCACCGCTAGCATTACCACCGCTACCATCACCGCCATTATTACCACCACCATTCCCACCAACATTGCTGTCAACATCATTATCGTCTTCAATACTCAAGTTATCAAGTCCTTGTTCAATAATTTTTAATCCAGGATAAGGTTTTTCAAGTAATTGTTTGAATTCTACGCTTTGTTTACACATTTCCTGAATATATTTCTTGTTTTTATACAAAGCTGTTATACTTGAACCTGATAAAACTAAACTGGGGTATTCTTCAATCATTTTATAACAACCCAAATAAACGTACATGTTTGATCGCGATACTTCAATGACATTTTCGCAATACTCATAAAATTCAACGTTTGATCTGAATTTAGGCTGTAATTTTGAATATAAAAACCCTAAATACAAAAAACATTATTTTAAATATTGATTATTAACTTAAATAAATTAGAATAAACCTCTGAGATATCCCTCATATATCGGTATAATCGAGGCTTTCATCTCATTTTTGATAATGAGTGTATGTATGTTTTTGATTTCAATAGCGTGTAAGTATGGGTCGGCAAATTCGTCAAGTTTAAGAACTACACTTATTTCTGTTCTCTTATAGCCCTCACCAACTATAGTACTATTCAACTCGATATTAGTAATAATTGATTTTATATACGATAGTTGTACAGAAGCACTTGTCGATGCGATAACTTTAGGTACAGAGGCTTTTTGTTGGTAAACTGGTAATTTCCTTTCAATCATCTCTAAAACTTGCAAGCACATCTGTCTATCACGTGGTTCAAATAAACAAATCGCCTCAAACAGTGCATCTTTATCTCGTGTAATTTTAATAATTCTATCTTTTATTTCTTTACTAGACGCCATTTTTCCTGTGCACTGGAATTTAATTAAAAATTATTAATTAAAAAAATCGTAAAAATAATTAATAAATAAATCCACACTTACCTGTTACTTTCAGTGGAATTAAAACCACAGACTCATTCACAGACACAAAATATTAATAAATATTTTGTTATATTTTAAATATAATGATTATTATCTTATAAAATTAACAATATAAATATAAACAAATGAAAATCATTTCAATTCAATCATTCATTTAATTAAACACTTTTGTAATTAAATTCCTAAAGCATTAACCCATATGTGTCTATACAAATTTAATTAATTTTTTATATACAAAAACAGATGGTTTATTAAAAATTAATTAACAATTAATTAAATGATAAATGTACAGTATGACATAACTATATATGACATAAATCCACACTCATCCAACTATTTAACCATATAAAAGAAATGGTTAACTTTTAAGATGCATTATTATATTTCAAATTAAAATAAAAATTAGTAATATATAATCAATTTAATTTAATTAAGGGTTTAATTTTACATTGTTCTTGTAAAAATAGGTCATTGAACTGTAATCTCTTAACCAATAAATCTAATTTAAAGTTATAATAATCAATATAATCTCGTTTAACAAAATATAAGTTATCGTTATATCCAAACACATATTCATAATCGTATATATCTATTTTAAATAACTCTATTGGTTTTGCAACAAAATGATGTTTAATACCCTCTTTTGTTGTATTATACATTTTATAATAAGATTTAGGCATATCTTTTGAAAACATGTATAAGGTATCATTGATTTGGTTATAATATACACCAGTTATTTTTTCTGTTATATTTTCATGCGAGTACATCATTGTTAATTGGTTATTGGTACACCGAAGTGGGTGTGCAAACGATGGATAAAATATTACCAATTCATAATCCATTTTAACAATACTAACTAACTTTCCTAGTTTAAAATTCCAATATGAATCGTGTATAAATTTAATCGGTTTAATTTCATTATCAAAATACATATAAAATGATTGATTTTGATAAAGAAACAAATATCCATCAATATTGTAAATCAAATCAAAGTATAAGTTATGTGCACACATCCAATTATTGTTATTACATGGATTAATTTCTGGGTAACTTGTTACTTTATAAGTATCTTTAGTAGTTTTAGGTATATTTGTGTTACCGTGAATCGGTGTTACATCTGGTACACTTGATACAGTCGGACTTGGAGTATTAATAGTTTCAACTATATTAATTTCATTTCTGTACAAATCATTAATCAATTGTTTATCAAACTCGTTTAAATTGATATCTGAAGTATTAATATTTCGGTGTATGTAAGCCGGAAACATAATTGACATAAACTCGTCCACATGCCCCAATCCTAAAACGTGCCCGATTTCATGTATTAAAGTAACCATTACATTAACTGAATTTGGTTTTAAATCTGAATTTAAACACCAAAACATCTGATTATTTAAGTGAATAACACCGCTTTCCGGTAAGAATGCGTGTCCTAAAATATCATCAACAAAGTCGGAATCGTCTTCGAAATATCTATGATTGGGGTCTACAAACATAATAGTAATGTTTGCGTTGGTATCGTTATTTATAAATGTAAATCTGAAATCACTCACACGCTCCCACACATTAAACGCTAATCTCATTTCATAGAATAACCGATCCGGATAATCAGACATTAGATATTTAGGTCTATTAAGAAATGACCATGACAATGATTTATTAGTCCATAATTTTAAATTTAATTGGTTATAATAATAATTATCGAATAAGCGAGTAGTAGAATTAATCCACTGAGTGGTGTTTACAGATAGAATACATTTAATTATGTTAAATATTAAACCAATTAGTATAATTAATTTCATTTTATATGAGTATTTTTTGTTTAACTTAACTAGTATTATAATATTATATTTATTATTTATCTATTAATTTTTCAATGAGTCTACCGAGCATATCTATAAAATTCATATGCTTATTACTTAATAAATATAACACAAATAAGCATAATTGCCCACAGTATTCAGTATTAAACTTTTGTATTTTAAACGTATTTATTAATATATTCTTACCTAAATATGATTGTAATTCGATAGGAGGATTTAATCCATAAGAATCAAAGTAGTATTTAGTATTATAACGTCTGTAATAACATACCCAATGTGTTCCTTGATTTTGTATTGAATCTAAATTAACTATACCACATTCAATTGTATTACATTTTTTAGGTAATGTATCTCTCATAAATGCACCTCTAAAGTCTTTAATTTGTAGATATTTAGCACAAATTTCCAAATCAATATTACTCATACTTTTATTATATTTCTTAATCATTTCACTAATAGAGGTGCCCGGCCTAAAAAAAGACCCTTACCTGTGCTCATTGAAAGGCCAGCGCCGATTGTGAGGCCTTTTCCGTGACATTTATTACATTTTTTGTATAAACTATTAACCCCTTTACCAGATAATAACTTATTTTCAATTAATTCATTATGTTTTTTCGTTTCAACCAATTGTCGTTCATTAGTTTTAGCCTGGTTAACTGCTTTGGCTATTGCAGAACCACCAGCTGCTAAACTACCAAGTGCACTTAAACCACCAATTATTAATGGTAAAAAGGGTAAAAATCCACCATGTTTTTTCAACGCCATAACTTGTTTACCAGATAAATTAATGATATATCCCTTTTTTAATTTTAAACTTTTATTTATCTGATCATGTTGTGTTTTAGTAATTAATATTGGTAAATCACCAGTCGTTAAATCTTTATAATTTAATTTAATTGACAGACTAGATTTATTTTTAATTGCTTTACCTAGTTTTGTTTTTTGATTATTGGTTAAGTTAACTTTGTGTTCAATATAACTCATTTATATAAGATAAAATATTAAATATAAATTGTTGTAAATATGTTTAAATGTCTATAATCAGTGTAGTTGATACTTAAGTATCAATTACCATGCGTTGTCCGTCACTTGTTAGCTTTAATATCCTATCACTCAATATTAAACAATAACATTTAGTATTAGCGGCTACATTTGCATGAAATTTAGCTCTAATTGTTATATCAGATATAGAATTTTTAAGTTTTTCACTTTGTTTACTTACATCAATTACAAATAATGGGTATAAAGTTTTATAATCATTTTGTGCTATCATTAAATCGTTATACGGATCATTTAAACCATAATATTTTTCTCTAAATAATCTAACTAATTGATATGAGAATACATAATCGTTCTTTTCAAAATTATTAATTATATCTATATTTGGATATCTTATTGCATTTAATTCTACATTAATTGTTCTAAGTTTACAGTGATCAAATATACCAGGATTCCCATTATTCTTACTTCTATTTGTTTGAAAACCAATAACAATATATCGTGGTTTTTCAGACGCACTTCGTGGTCCTAATCTCCACGTGAATTCATTACTTTGTGGTACATCTATTTGATCCATATTTCTATACATAAAACCAATATTTAAATTCTGTTTAGATGAAATGATTTTATTTAATTTTAACTCTTCTTCCATCGATGGTTTGATGTTTATCATGGTCCACACAATACTTGATAAAGTTACTTTACTTGTAGCGTTACCAGATACGGCATCCTCGTTACCACATCGTGTTAATATTAAACTATGCTTTACACCATAGATTAATTTTTTATAATCTTCACAGAAACCAAATATATGTGTTAATGGTACAATAAATGAAAACTCACCTTTACCACTCTTTATTATTTTATTATGTCTTACTTTAAAACCAATATTAGTAGTTAAACTTGCTTCACCAGTACCACTATCTTGATACCAGCACATATTTAAGCCACTTTTCTCATAACTATCAGGATAACTTAACAATCCTTTCATTAAAGAACAATGACCTGGATAATTAATATATTCAATTATTTTATCGCCAATACTATACTCGATTCTATCAAATAGGTACATCATAGCATTATTAATTAACGATACAACATCGGTATCAGCGTAGTCAGTTCCATCATCTTTAGTTAATTTACCTTTTATTTGTAAAAAGGATTTGCATGGTAGATAGTATAAATCTTGGTTTTCAATAATTATACGTATTTGTGAATTAGTGTTTAAATTACTTCCAACTACTGGTTCATAATTATGATAGTTA